GAACCCGGGCCGTCGGCGTGCTAGCCGAGCACGTTACCACTAGGACAACGCGCTAATTTAAAATTAAAAATTCATTAGTGGTATATCTTCAACATATTGAATAATTTTTTCCATTGAAATTCCACAAGATGTGGTTTCCCCCTTCCGTACGTGCTACAGTCGGCTAAATTTCAGTTAAACAAATGAAAAACAAAACGCATTCGTACAGCAGAAAATAAAATTCACCCCGTCGACTCGATGGACACCCCAGGCACTGCAATAAAAACTTGGTTAATAACAAAAAAACACCCCAACATTGCGTGTTGCGCCCTCCCTCTCTTGGGGTGCAGTACTACGATGCCGCTGGGGTCACTCAAACCCCCAGAACTGAGCCTCTACTTTAGATAATCCTCTTTGATTTCACTCAAGACAGTTGAAAAGTTCCAAAAAACATTTTATTTCCAAAAAATTTTCGAAACAAGAAATGAGAGCTGTTGCCATCTGCGAGGGAAAACCTTCTAGACTATGGGGCAGACCACCATCTGCTCCTCTGCATCATTCGCCCAGTGACAGATGTTTCAAGTTCCCCTCCACTCCTCAAAATCAGTCGAAAAATCCCCACCAGTTTCTTGTGCAGTGCACAACAAACTCGAAAGAGTCGTCACACCGCGCCTGTGATAACTCAAGATAATTTAAAAGTAAAAACTAACGAGTGCCAGGCATCATTTGAGTGATTTCCTGCAATCGAATGGACACGACGTATTATTGGGGATAACCTCTGTAACCGTATGAGTCAGATGGAATCTGCAAGATGCAGCGATTTCCCTCATGATAATTCGCACCAAAATATCGCCATTTTTCGGCGTTCGGTTTAATTGTCAACACGAAAGTCCAACAGCCCTTGGAAATGGAGTAGATGAACTGTAATCGCAGATTCCAGGGGCTCCAGACCAATTATTCATCATTTTTTTTTATCGTGATTGGGTGCTGCGGTGTGTGAGTGTCTCGTGGGGGAAAGGGAGGAACTGTTGAACTCGATAGAACCGGCACTGGACTTTCATATTGAGAGGCTTTTGTTATATAATTGGCGATGGTTCGCAGGCTTATCTATCACTGATTGGCGTGAGGATAGGATTCATTGTTTTGGAAAAGGTTGGACTGCATTTGGAGTCATATGTGGTTGATAACTTAGTGCGATAAAACGTAGTGGGTATCAATGGCTGCACACAAGACAGGTGGGCAGAACGCCCGAAAGAAAGTTCAGGTGAGATTTTGTTTTTTTGCAGTTCTAAGGATTTTGTTTTGTTGATCACTAGAAACCGGTAGTTTGACATTCTCCTGTTTGATTGATTCGTTGAATTTTTTTGAGGGGATAATTCTAAGTTAATCCCAAATGTAGATAATAGATTTGATATTTTTTAGGAAAGATTCGAGTAAAAATTGGATTTAACTTGCAGAATTTATGGATATAGTATATTCTGCACCAAGGGAGGAAAACAGGGCATTCTAACCCGTCTGTGTATTAACGACCTGAGGCGAACCCGAGATTGGTAAACACGCGGATTTGAAGGCCCTGTTTTCCTTCCTCGGTGCACATTGTTCTTTCTCGCAACACTACACGGAAAAATTCGATTTTTTTTAAATAAGAGAAAATAAGAGAAAATAAGAGAAATGTGAAGTATAGAATAGGCAACTCTCTTCGTCATTTGGGGGAGTAAAACACATCCGATCATTCATTTAATTTTCTTCGAGTTGACGTTTTTTTAAAATTGGTAATGATCAATTGAAAACATTGTTTACACATTTATCTGATCTTTATCAGCAATTTATTCACCTACAAAAAATATCTTCAACGATTCTGCTTTAAATCGATAGCTTTCGAGATGATTCGATAATTGATAGGAATGAATCGAATTTAAGTTGTGCATTTCGAATTAAATTCAATAAACTTGATTTTCTTGCTATTTATTTTCTGAAGGTATCGATGGTGATTCGCGATGAAGTGGAAAGGAGACATCGAGCAGGAGTCAATTCTCTCCAATACGACCCAGTCCTGCACAGGCTGTACTCAGCTGGTAGAGATAGTATTATTAGAATATGGAATTGTAAGAATATGAAGGAGCCGTTCATCCAGTCGATGGAACACCACACAGACTGGGTGAATGATATTGTCCTCTGCTGTGGAGGTAAAAATTTGATATCAGCGAGCTCGGATACAACCGTCAAAGTGTGGAATGCCCACAAGGGATTCTGCATGTCAACACTAAGGACTCACAAGGATTATGTCAAAGCTCTTGCCTACGCCAAAGATAAGGAGCAAGTGGCGAGTGCTGGGCTTGATAGGCAGATTTTTCTCTGGGATGTCCATACACTGACAGCATTAACTGCCAGTAACAACACAGTAACGACTTCTTCATTAGCTGGGAATAAAGATTCCATCTACAGTCTGGCGATGAATCCACCAGGTACTGTAATAGTCAGTGGTAGCACGGAAAAAGTACTCAGAGTCTGGGATCCCAGAACGTGCAACAAACTCATGAAACTTCGTGGTCACGCTGACAATATAAAAGCTCTTGTCCTGAATCGTGATGGCAGTCAGTGTTTGTCGGCGAGTTCCGATGGCACTATTAAGTTATGGTCATTGGCTCAACAAATGTGTATACAGACATTCAGGGTACACACTGAGGGAGTCTGGGCCCTCCTAGCGACAGACACATTCAGTCATGTTATATCAGGGGGACGTGATAAAAAGGTCATCATGACGGAGTTGAGAAGTGCTGACAGGTACACCGTCATCTGCGAGGAGAGGGCACCCGTTCTCAAGATGGTTATGACACCTGATCAATCGAGTATCTGGGTTGCCACCAGTGAATCCACTATAAACAATTGGGTGTGTATAATAATTATTTAATTGTATTCTTGAAGCAAAAGCTGTTGCTTATGATTATATAGGAATGACGGTTTTCATCAGTCTCCATTCGAAATTCACTGAATTCACAAAAAAAAATGAAATTTTTCAGTTGATCAACCAGAAAGACTGGCAATGCGGTGATTATTGTGTGGACCCACCAGTTAGTGGTGCCGGTGGGATGGTCCCTCGAAGTTCAGAGCCCGTGCAGAGAATCCTCGGTGGTCCAGCGATAAGACACCACATTATCCTCAATGACAGGCGATACGTTCTCACAAAAGACACTGAAGAAAACGTTGCTCTCTACGACGTTCTGAAAGCCTGCAAAGTCGAGGATCTCGGACGAGTCGATTTCGATCAGGAAGTCAAGAAGAGAAATAAAATGGTTTATATCCCCAGCTGGTTTAACGTTGACCTGAAAACTGGAATGCTGACCATTCACCTCGCACAGGACGAGAACGATTGTTTCTCAGCATGGGTATCAGCACGCGATACTGGCATAACTGATAACGATAGTGTCGATCAAAAAGTCAATTACGGTAATTTGCTGCTCCAAGCGTTGCTTGAACACTGGTGGAAGCCCATTCATGCGGATGAGGAGAATGAAGCGAATAGTAATGATGGAACTGGCCAGGCACATTCCAGGGATGGAAACCCTTATTTCTCGGTTCCTGGCCACACGCCCGTTATCTTCAGGTATCAATTCGCCAAATGTCCTATAAAAATCATACAGGAAAAAAAATTAAGGCCTTGTATGCTGCTTGGAAGATTATGTACATTCGTATCACTCAGTTTTTATTATTTACTCACATGGACATTTCCTTTATCGGAAAATATATATTAAAAAATATCTCCAAAATGAAACAAAATATATGTTTTACACATATTCAGAATTCGCCCTAAACGGTTATTTAAATATAGCCCCCAGTCCGCGTCATAATTCCACACAGAATTTTAAAAGGAAAATAATACAGTAGATTCCCGTTATAGCCGCGTGCATGGGTGGTAGGGAAAGTGAATTCGGAGAATTTGAATATATGCAATTACCTCCACCACGTGCTCATTGCCACTGTAAACTGAATTTTTTCATAGCAATTTCGAATGCGAGAGAAATTTATTTTTCGACTTTATTTTTCACGGAATTCAATCCCTCACCGGACGAAGTAATGAATTGTTTACATCTTGGAGCCTGGAGGTAGTGAAGTGGGCGAACTGACAGATACGTGAAAACAGAAATTGAGGGGAGATACAACTATAATGAGTGATTATAGCGGGATTCTATACATGTTTAGGGAAAATTATTTAAATTTCCTAGCAAATATTAGATTTAATTATTGTTTATGTTGATTATAGTGAAGTGGGTGGCAAAACACTGTACAGACTACTGGTGCGAGATGCTGCTGGCGAAACAGAAAGAGCACTTCTAAATGAAACAGTGCCCTCCTGGGTCATCGACATTGTCGTAGATAAAAATCTGCCTAAATTCATAAAAATTCCATTCCACCTGTCACCTCATCCGAATTCCGGCTTCAAGAATTGTAAAAAGTAGGTATCATGCATTTGAGCTTTAATTTGAGAACGTTGAGACAAAACTACACCTGCAGAATATTTTTAGATATTCATATGTCGATTTTTTGTCCAGCTACTTTTATATTTCTGGAGGAGTTTAAATGGTGAATTTTTTTCGCAGAGATCGGTTGATTGCCAACGACTTTATACAAGTGCGGAAAGTCGTGGAGCATGTTTATGACAAAGTCCTGGGGGCAGGAAGTGACTCCGGTTCAGTGGCCGGAGGTGGAAACACAGTATCCGGGGGTTCTCCAGCGGGGGATCGTGCTAATACAGATTCTAATGCTGACAATTCATCTCTGGCTGAGGAAAAGGTGGAGCTTGTCTGCAATGATCAACCGTTGGATCCCTCGATGGATTTGCGAACGGTGAGTGTAAAAATATAATTAATTTTTAAATAACCATTGATTTTTTATCAATAATCTCTATTATTATTGCTTATTGCAGAATTAACGATAATATCATTTTGATTCTAGGTGAAGCATTTCATTTGGAAAAACTCAGCGGATCTCACACTGTACTATCGTCCAGCCAAATAGTTAGGATTTCGAGTAACAAGCAACGGTCCTCTGAAGTGTGCCTGGTTCTGTGCCGTGGCCAAGTGATAAAAAATAAACCGAACGAAAACAAAAAAAAATAACAAACGTGAGTAGCTGGACGATGGGTTCGTCCGCAGTTCGCCTCAATGTTGCCAAAAAAAAAAAAACTGAAAATGAAGGGATGAAAAATTTTCGAAAAATACCGAAACGTATTTTGAACAAACGAAGCCATGATATTCAGATACTGATTTATTTTTAACTGGGAGAATGTTCCGATGAGTCTAGTTATAGACACCTTACTAGCAATTATTAGTAAACGGTCATTGGGTGTTATTGCAATGACGAATTCAAGTGACAAGGAACACTAGGGAACATGCTTCGAGATACTATTTCTTCAATATTTCTACCAATCGCCGATTCTCTTGAGCCATAAGGAAATTAATCAAGTAGGTAAATATCGCCGGCTCAATTATATCCCTGTAGAATTTCGATATCCCAGAAAACGCATGATCTGAAATGTTGAGGATCTATCTGCATCATTTGGGGTGGATGTGGGTGTGTAATTGATGACTGTTAGCCTATTCATCATCTCATTTATGAGTTCTTCGTTATCGTACTGTAAATACCCATGATTTTCGTTGATTTTTTTTTTGTGGAGCTGTGAAAATGGGAAAGTGTCATCTGTCCAGGATAAAACTTTCAGTGAATTAATTGCGAAACCCCAAAGATTTATTTTTTGGACCATTTTGTTGAGGTTCCATGTGGACCCACATATTCCTTTATTCATGTAAAAAGTGTGAATTAATTAAGTCCTGGTTGCATCGTCTTTCCGATTTTGTTTTTGTCACGCGAAAATCCCCAAAAATAATGGACGCGGATGTTGCAAAATAAAGTTAATGGGGATAAAGTTGTCAAGAGATAGTTCCACAATGGCAATCTAATTATTTATTTGCAATTTTCTTCCTGTTGTTTATGTTTATTAATGTTTATTTTTTTTTACGAGAAAAAATGATATTCTCATCAGTTTTGGGGATTTTTGAATGATGTGATACCGACTGGTAATTACAAAATATCTTAGACTAAAAAAAGAGAAAAAGAACTGAAGGTAAAGTTTGAAAGATGATAAATCCGGGCTTTAATTTGAAAATAATTATCGCATAAACGAAAATGACCCTCGGAGAAAATTGACTTCAACTTTTTTACCTCTTCGCAACTAAACTCCATATCCTATAATTTCAAGACCTCATAATCGTCTCCTCAGTCGTAAAATAGAAAGAAAATTAATTGAAAAGTTTTTTATAGTACTTCGATGCGAATTAAATTTGTCTTCCGAAATTGTGAGGATCGATGATGAAATAAATTTCTATTTTCATTCCCTCCGCATGTTATCGCACTACGTACTCTCAATCAATCAAGCGAATTTTCTTTTACTTATTTGTCACAGAGCACAAGTTGATTGGCTTCATGTGCTTGTCTTCTTGGCTAGGCAAATTAATTTTTGTAAATACTCGCCTCTGGCCTAAGTCAGTGTGAGAATAAATCTGAAGAATGAGGAAGTGAGGAGTATGTCAATTTACTACTTTCTGAACATTGTCCAACAGCCAAATTAAACTGAGATGATGTTCGTTGAGAATATTACCTCATACTTGATCGACTGAACATAATAAATATGAATCCACTGGTATTTGTCTCTATTTTTACGATTTTTAGATTTTCCAGATGTGCAGTCCTTCGAATGACAGTGTTTTCTAGTCGGGGAAAATCGGGGAAATTTTCCCAGATTTTCGAAGTAATAACGCTCAATCATCAATTATTCAAAGCTATTTCCCTTTTTTTATGCATATTTTTTAGGCGTAACAATTTATCGGTAAATTAGGTCTAATATATGTTCGCGAATAACTTAAAAGCTACGCTAGATACAAACGAGCAGTTAACCAAGCCTATTGTGCAGGAGACGTTCAACCGTTACTTTATGTGTCAGTTTTCTTTTTGTTATGAAAATATAATGGCTCATATTTTTTATTATTTTTTACGTATTATTTTTGTTCGCAAAAAAAAAACATTTGTAGGGATAATTTTCCATTTTTTTTCTTGAACTGTACAGACGTAAATCACTTAGGAATTACTTGCCCGATAATTCCACGACCGAAGACACATTTCGATATAAAAAGCGTTCTGGATCCAAAGACCACGTATGTCAAACCCAATTTCCCTGGACTATTTCTCAGCTTTCCAATTATCATACTGTCTCGAAACCATGCATACAGTAGAAAAATATGGAATCAAGTCTAATGTATAATATACATTATACATTATACAATGACAAGTCTAATAAATAATAAGCAACAAGAAATTGAAATCTATTAATTATATTAAGTTTATGGTACATAATGGGGAATGGATTATGACTCCGAAAATTCTCTGAGAATTTCATCGACTGCCTCGACGAAAGTTGGAATAACTTTAGTAGGTGGTGGAGATATTGATGTTTCATCGCCAGAACGATATTTTCCAGTTTGCACCAGAAAACCTCTGATGCCTACAGCTTGGGCCCCGGCCACGTCGTCCCTGACATCCTTTTAAACATGAATTTTTCGTCGATCGGGGAGAATTATTTGAAGCCAGTGTTGAGAATTATTAGTGAAAATAAAAATAAATTATTTCAATTGTATATAAACTCACGTCGCCTATCATAATAGCATGCTGAGGGGGAATGCCTTCCAATGCAGCTTCAAAGAACCCTTTCGTCGGTTTTCCAATGACTTCTGCTTTGATATTAGCTGAGTATTCCAGGCCCTTGATGAAGGCACCTGGTCCTAGAGCGAGACCATCCCCGCGTTTATAATAACGGCCTTCGTGGATGGCGATGAGAGAAGCACCTTGCAATAAAAGCCTAAAGAATATTCATGAGTTCAGTGTGCCAGAAAAAAACTAATAACTCGCCTTGGGCGGGTTTTTGGAATATATCTCCGGCAATATCGCAGATAGCCAAATTTTTATAATAACCTTCATTGCAACTCTCACTGAACTATACAAAAATGTTCCTATTAAAAATTCAATTATCTCCCCCTATTTCAGAGATATTTGTGAAAAACTCACGAAAACCTCTTACGATCATTACCTGAATGCTTGATTCAATTCTTCGTAATGGAATTTATCTGGTGCCAATCCTACCACAACTGCCGTTGCCTCCTCATCAGGATTCTGCAGATCTTGAAAATCTTCCATTGCTGCATCATCGACCATCAGAAAAGGATTGAGTCTGCGAGTTTGGATGACGTCTCTTGCTGCTGCCAGCGAACTGAATATCTCATCTTTCTTTATATCAAAGCCAAGTTTACGCAGTCGATCGAAGAGACATGATTTCGATTCTTTCGTTGTGTTTGTTACAAATTTAATTTTTGTCTCCGTACTACGAAGTCTGAAAATTATTCAAAGTTCAATTAATTCCTTCTTGGTTCCACTCAGAAATCTCGTCATCTCGAAACTCTCGTGACATTTAAGAAAGACAGAAGAACAGAACTAATTTGTTTTGCTTTCCTTAAAGCTGATCTGGAGTGTAATAATTAAACAGTAATCAAGGAGTGACAGGAAAATAAAAATTAATGGGGAAATCCTTCAATTTTGTTTATTAAATTTCATTCAATTGTAATTGATTGATGAATTTTTCTCAGTTTCAAGAAGCATTTGTCATACGTACTTTTTCAGAGCATTGACAGCCCCTGGAATCACAGAGTTTTCAATGTGCAAAGTTCCACTGAGATCAATCAGCACTGTCTTAATTTTATTCACCATAATTAGAAGATTCTAATTAAGTCGGGATGCAGAGAAATGAAAACATGTGGGCACATATGTTCAGTCGGACTGTTTCCTGACGATTCTATTGGCTGCTGACAAGTTATCATCAAAAAAATCTTACACCAAATTAATTATCACATAATTAATATAAATATTCCCATACTCGAATATTAGAGTCTAAATTTTTCATCACAAAATGCCAGAAATGTCAGCTTTTTCGTCTAATAAATAATAATTCATTGTCTTGCCAACAAATTCGATGAGTTATGTATTTGTTAAAAAATAAATAATTGAAGTAATGCTTTTTAAAAATATTTCTCGAGTAATTTAGTGACAACTCAGTAATTAACACGTAAAAAATGAATTTGATAGAGGATTTACCATCCGTCTACAAGCTTGTTTCTCTACTTTATCAATGTTAAGAGAAAATATTTCGTGTAGGTATGTTTTCCATCCTCTCCTCAGTTTGAATTTTAATATTCGATTTACCAGTGAATGTTTCGTCGAAGTATAAGAAAACATTGAGTTGAAAAAACGAAATGGTGGCCAGTGATAAATACGACTTTCTCCTCTTTCTCGAGTACTACTCTCCTAGATTAATTTTCAAATAATTATGTGTCAGTTTTGGGGTGAATTAATCTGCTTAATAGAGTGAGGGGAATATCATGGGTGTCATGTGATGTGGTGCATTCAGGGAAAAATCTCATTTTTTTTCCTCATTAATTCCTCATTCCTCATGGAATGAGAAGTTAAAAAAAAATCATAGGATTGAATAAAAAATTGGGTGTTGGAAAAAGTGAGTGCTAAGTGGAGGTGTTGAAATCGGAAAAATGCAGTCCTGTGAATGAGCGTCAAGGCCTGTGGAATATGATGTAATGGTGAGTAACTTCACAAATTCACATACACATGTACCTGCATGATTCAACAAGACCTCCGCAATTGCAATTTTAATTAACACAATAATATGAAAATGGAATCGATTTCCCGAATCATTTTTATAATCGCCATGACCACTGATTTCAATTATCGTCATAATTACGTTCTGAAAAAAAAACCTTGCACATAAAAAAAATTGAAATGATTCAAGTAAATGACCAATTAATTAATAATTAATAATCAATTCTTAATAAAGTTGAATTAACGTTAATTCAAATCTTAATTAATTAAGGTCAACGAGAAATAGAAGAGAGGACTTATAATTTTTTTCTACAAAAATTGTGATAATTGCTTCTAATATTATTTATCGCGTTATTATTTAATTATTCATTAGTTTTGAGTCTAGAAAATGTACATATTTCTTCTCTTAATGAAGAAGAGGCTTGGAGTTGTTCCACATACTGGAAAAGATAGTGATTGTAATATTAAAAATTATCAAGACGTGGTTTTTTTTAATTTAAAAAATCACTTGCTTTAAAATCTGTTTAATTTTCTCTCAGTGTCAAATCGTGATATTACCCTCACAGGATGCCTGGAAACTCAATGGCAATTGAATTTCTTCACTCTTTCATCTCAATTTTTTTTTTTGGGGTGAAAAGGATTTATTTGAACCCTGAATAGCGTTCCACTTATCTCAGCGTCTTTCATACCTCGTGGAGGCGCCATATCATTCTCTAAGGGGATGGAAAAATAAAAAAGCACAGCTTTGTGACCATAACCGAGATTGCACATCACCCATTCTACCTGTTGCTAAAACCATGCTCATTCTGGTCGTCATCTTCTGTAATTGATCATTCGAAATTGTTTGAGCAGCTCACGAAATCGAAAATTCAAAAAGAAATGTTTCACCAATGACAACTCACGCAGAGAGAAAAAAATTGAACGAACCTAAATTTTTGCTGGGACAACGAGAATAGTTAATTTATCGAAGTCATCATTGTTATCAGTTCAATCCAATTTTTCTGTTTGAGTTTCGAAAAGAAATTTGAATTGAGGCGGGAGGATTACACGAAATTCGAAAAGCCTCGAGTTGAGACTTTTGAAATGCTCGTTTTGGAAATTTTTTGAGATTTTTTAATGTCTGGATTTGAGACTCTGGGGGGTCTTAAAATAAATTTTACCTTTTTAGGTGTGCTATTGGGGTACAAGAGGTTCTTGAACTCTTCACCTCGCGGGTGTAGAAAATGCAGGAATCGATCTGAATTCTATCTATATCTCCGCATTCAACCGTTCAATACTCTAATTTAACTTGGACGGGAGCATTTATTTTTAAATTATTGCTGCCATGGTGGACTATCCACTGGTAACAAATTTTCGGTTAAAATTCGTGGAGGAAGATGGTTAGGATCTTAGTTAAAATTGATATACCCCAGATCTTCAGAAACACCTGCCCCTGAAGAAAAAAATCTCACACTTCCCGCAGTTCCAAACTGGTTATATACTTTACAAAAAAGCTTCCGCAGATTTGCACCTACTGCACCGCGAGAAGAGCCCAGGATAAAGTATTAAACATTTTCACGTAAATATTCATTATTTCCGAAATTTCAGTCCCCTTTTATTATAATTTTTCTGAAATTTCAATTGGTAATTTATTCCAGAGATTGCAAAGTTTCTCGTTCTGGCTGTAATGAACAGATTTGAATAGTAACAATCTCTGAATTTGATTAAAATTTTATTATATTTCCTCATAAATTTCTGTACAAAAATTAATTGAACTTTATTTTATTAATTATTTATTAATTAAGCAAACTCCTGTCTGCAGACAGCCTCGACCAGTGAAATTCCGTATTCTTAAGATTAATTAGATTCAACTCCAGTTCTTCTCAAGAATTAATACCCAATGGCCTCTAGACTATTGGAATCATTCGACTTCCCTTCCATTTTATTGCACTTGATGAAATAATAGCACTAATACCACATGAAGGCTAGGATAACAAGTGTCATGAGACTTAGGTACTGGGGAAGGACTTTGTGACTGGATGAGCCTTCGGACATCCGTTGGTGCTTTTGGTTTTGATAGTCATGGTTTGACCAACAGTCGCCCTCCTTTTCATTAGGAATTACGTCCCGTAAAATCTCGAGAAAGTCGTCAAGGGGACAGAATTCAGGGCAGCCGGGAATCCTCTGGCTCACCAGCTGTTCAGTAATTCCGGTCCACAGGAGCACCTGGAAGGGATTTTCATCTCAACTTCTTCATAAAAAATTAAAACCACGGAGACGTATGAAAAATGCAACTTTCAATTTGAGACTGGAAAAGAGTGAATTTAACGTACCTTCACGTAGAAGCGATTAGTTTCGTCCTTCAGGGTTTCGAATATTATTGCAGAACCGTACAGTGGCACGACAGGATCATCCGTACCGAGAGTTCTCGCCATGGAAACCACATTTAGCTCGTGGGCAGAGTAGAGAAAAGCTTTTCTATTCAGTGGATCCAGATTTTCCGATCTCAGGGCTTTCATGTTTTCCGTGATTTCTCTCAGCAGTGGACCTGAATATATTGATCATTCATTTAATTGTTTATTGGTTTATTGGTTTATCGATTTTCATTAAAGGGAATGTGCAAAATAATTGCAAAAGAGTAGTAACATTTTCGGAAAATATTCTCCATAACACCAAAACTCTCATTTTCCGGAACTGAAGAAATTCGAGTTTCGTTCTTTCTTTTTAATTGAATCCAGTCCAATTGAATTTAATCCTGATAGATTGGAGAGAAAAATATTATTATTGTGTTTCTATGGTACATTGTTTTTCTAATTCATAAATTGGATCTGACAATCCAGATAAAGATTACTTCTTTAGTCCACGAATTTCACAATTTTTTCAGCAGGATTTGGAGTAAAAAATTCATATCCCCCAATAAAAATTTTTTTCAGCATTATTTGGAGTAAAAAATGCATATCCCCCATTAAAAATTGTGTGAACAATTGTAATTCTTCCTCAGAGCTAATTGTTAGTCAAATTTTTCATAAAAATTCTGGAATTGCCATCCGATTACGTCAGGGTAATTTTTATTAAATATTCCTATCCGAGTGTAAAGCAGGGAAGATCTTGTAATTGTAATCTCATGTCACTTGCCTCCGTTAAGCTGTCTGAGTCGTTTCGTGTAAGACCTGAGTTGAAAATCCAGGGCTGTGATCTCTTTCATGGGATTTGGATAGACTTTGTGTACCCAGTGAGGGAGCGTCAGATTTTGTGCAGCCTGCTCAACAAATATATCATATTAAGAATTCTCAAGGAATCCTCTATTTGTCGAAATTCCTATTCGCAATCTTCAGCAAAACGAAAATTCCTCAGATTTTCACGGTTTTTCCAAAAATTATTGATAAATAACTTATTTGTTTAAAAACCTCCTCGTTACAATTCTTCAATATTTATATAAATATTGATAAATGGTAAAAAATAAATCGAAAGCATAATAGAACGACAAATTCATCACCGGGATACAATTTCGGATACAGTATATTTTTTGGGTGAAAAACTCACGGAATTTTCACATGAAAATAAATAAAAAATAAAATAAAGAATTAAAATAAATCAAAAATAAATATTATCAATCAATAGACACTAATTAGTTGGCAAATTCATTATTAATAATCATCAATAGTAAATATCTCAAGATTGCGGTCGTGAACTCGATAAGAAAATAAAAGAATGAGTGGTGGGGGTTTCTCATTTGAATTTGAAATGTCACGAATAATTAGTGAATATGATACTTCTTATAATAGGATGACATTACCTGTTCCTTGAATAAATTATAGAGATAATAAACTGCAGACGTCCTATCGACAGATTTACCGGTGTATTTAGTCAGATAATCCATCGGCTCCTTGTATTTTCGAATAATCTCTTGGATATTGTCTCGGCTCAGAAATTTCCTGTATTCCTTCACATATCTGGGGATAATTGGTGGAGAAATTAGAGATCAGGGGAAATAGTTGGTCTGGTGTCACTCACTCTGGACAATGATGAGGAAAGAGAAGTCCATCGCGTTCACTAGGAGTGAAGACTGTGGAGACTGGTAGCCAGGGAAGTCTTGGATTCCACAGTTGTTCTTCACTAGGTGGAAATAATCCCGCGATGACCAGTTGAAGGGACATCTGGGTTCTTGATAAATCAGTTGAACGTCCGTATATCAATTCTGGTGAGTAATAAGGGCCTAGTAATTTGTCGTACCTCTCCCTCAGCATTTCTCCTATTTTATACTCTCGTCGTTTTCCCTCCTGGAGGTGAATCATTACATTATTCTAATTATAAAGTAATGAGTTAATGTCAACGAACAAGAGAATTTAATTACATCACTGCGAGTACTGCCGTCAATTCTATGGGCCGTTTGTCAACCAATTTTGTTGATGACTCTTTGCATTTTCATTTTTTACGAATGATGATAACGAAGAACAGATAATAGCCAATTCGTATGAGTAATTGTTTATAGAATTTAAAAAATGAATGGAGTAATTCTATCGGATATATACAGGTTTTTATATGCGATTATAAACATTCAGTGATTCACCTTTGTTTATGTACCTAGAGTTTATTTTCCTTTTTTATAATATGACATGGAAATGTTGTTCTATTCATTTTTTTTTGTGAGAGGTTCCGGGACTGGTTTACAATCTTCGATTCCGAATTGTGTGGCAATACGAGTTAGTCTCGTCAGTTTTATTGGTGCTAGATCATGGAGCAGTCACTTCTGTTGTAATATACTGAAAGGACGTATGACTATCGCAGTTCAAATCTCATCTTCCTCGTCAATTTGGAATTGCATGACATTGTGACACACTGAGAAAATTTTTTCATCGGTTAAGAAAAATTATTTTCAAATTAACGAGTAAAATTAATGAATGGTTGCAAACATTTGATTGCCAGTATTAAATATTGATTTGAATAAATTCGTTTAGAACGGTTAATTGAAATTTTAGATTTCAGTTGTAACTTTATATATTATATATTTTGTAATAAGAATGAGAAATAGAAAGAATATAGAATAGAATAAGAAATTATTCTAGATTTCATTAAAAGTACTGCATTAATTTTCATGATAATGACAATGAATCGGATTAATCGACCGTAAAAATTTCAAGTTTAGATATATCGAGGACTTCATTGATCTTCAAATGGTTTTAAAATCCAAATAATGGTCTATCTGGTTTTTTTCTTCATGTATGTAAACCTCAACTATTTTGTGAGGTATTTACAACAATTTCTTGACATGTATTCATTTCCACGTGAACATGACTGGCGTTGACAGATAATTAATCGATAGTGAATGGACGAAAGACAATGAGTTTTCTCAAATCTTTGAACACGAATGTCACTTGAAGACAATTTATTCCCAGACGGCCACAACTTGACAACCTGTCAATTAAAATGACATGTGTCTTATCGCGGGTGTCTCATATCACCCCAAATGCTGCTGGTTTACATAAGCATCTTGCTCGATAAATTCAACACCATTTATTCGAGCCAGCGATGTACGCGATTGTAAAAAATTATTAATTATATTAATTTATTAATTATAAAACCACTCACATTCGTCAAACCTCCATTTTCGATGGGAAAGTACGAGTGATTGCCCCACAGGTCATTGGGGTAGTTCTGGTACTCTTTATGGGGCACCTTATCTCCATGACGGAACAGCTGTAGCAGAAATAATAATAATAATCCGGAGTTACACTTGAAAAGAAAAATTACAGGAAAAAATTACACTAGAATCGTAACGTAACAAAACCCCAGGGCATTTTCCCCTCGTGGAGTTCGAAATCTTAATTATTATTAAATTTTGTCGTCAATATATTTTTAAGGTGAATGTTTTAGGATTAATGCAGTTAATTACTTTTAATAATATTTAATAACACATGATATGGCAGAATTAAATTGGAACTGTGAGGTTCGCTGATATTTTGTTCGAGCCTTGAAGCAATTGATTTTAATGAGAATCTTGTCATTAATGCGACGTCAATTGTGTATAATTGTTGAGAAAAATGGGAATTGGATTGAATTTGGTATTTAATAGGACTTCCGTCTGAATTTTTCATGAGATGACGGAACTTGGCAGTTTTTAATGCGATATGCATATTTATATTATCCTGTCATCGTTAAGTGGTTAAAATATTATGCGGGGAACATCCTGAAAGTTTGGTAAATTGATTGCAGGAGAACCGAAGTTTCTATTCATTTTTTGAAGAAATAAATGCAGTAGGTTCGGTAAAGAGTAAAATATGAAAATTGAGGGGTCATTTTTGATGGATTTCATTTGGTGGATGAATATTTTGTTTGTCATTTTCAAGAAATTGAAATCTATTTCAAATTTATGAATATAATAAGAGTAAATATTTCCCAGGCTGAAGTTTAGATTCCCATTGTTTTTTTAAATTAAATAGGAAACATTAGATAATTAAATATTAATAATTAATTCTCCAATTCTCAGTCACATATTTCAATTTTAACGAAAAAACTTCATTCAATTTTTCATTCATCTAGAAAATTAAAAAAAATGAGTTTTTCATTTTAAATGGTGATTTAGTCTTCAATGAAAGCTTCGGTTTTCAGACTCATCGTAAAAATTGATCAGTCAAGAAGCAAATAGAGAATTAAATATTCACGAAATTGATTGATTCATTAATAAGGAATTTAAAAAAGTCCTCATGTCTTTATTGATATTAATTTTAAAGGGTGTGAACATCCTGAATTTACAAATTTATTTGAAACTCACTACGTGCAGAAGTTTGACTTCCAGATTAGCTGATCTGGATCCACAAATATTTTCCGACACGAAAAATGAAAATACCAAAATTGCCAGTTGGATCTTCATGATCGATTCACAATAAACACTGATGAATTGAAGTTTTTTTTAAGAACTCGTCGAAAAAAAAAAATCGAGAACGGCCTGTTTCTGTGTTCCCACAATTGGTGGACGTCGTAGCTCCGCGATTTCCACCGATTATCTATTCAGGCACCTCAGCCGTCTTCTAACATAATCCGGGTGAAAGACAATCATGTGGAGAGGGAGGATGAAGTACAACACCTGAGTTTATTACTTTTATACGCTCGCCTGACCACCTCTGCATCTTGTGCTCCTCAGGCTCAACCGAAAGGCAGAAATAATCAAGGCCATGTGCACTTATCTCACTAAAAAATTTCAACGTTAGTCAAAACAGTATTCAGTAAAAATTGCGGAACATTTACTGACGTTTTCACTGAACTTTCAGGAAAAAACACGAAAATTACTGATGAGTCAGTGAAAAATTTTAGAGTAATTTAACATCACTTTTTTGTTGTTAAAACCTTCAAGTCTTTTTACATACAATTTTGAGTTTAATCTCCTAAGAGTGTATAACAAATTAATTATCATCATAAATCCAAACTGCGCCCTTGATTAATGAATAATCACACGGTAATTAACGAATTTAATCACAATTTTAATTACTCATTTGTTGTTGAATTTTCAAATGCATTTCGAAAGCTCCAAAAAATATTAATTACCTTTTCCGAGAGGATGCTGCACACTCTTCCTTAAAACTCATCATAAGGAGAAAAAAAAAAAATAAAGCACAAAATGATTGGAAAGTCCGACGCGTCAACTCAGTCATCTTGGAAATTTAGATGAGACTTGCAAATGGCATGTTAATGGTACACTAATAGAAAAACCAGTTTAAGATCATCTGAAATATTATTCCAGGTACTGTCGCCCAGTTTTTTCACCTGCCACCAGGGATTCCCCTGCGAGTACCGCAGAATTTCGCGAAAATTATGAATTTTCATATTCAAACTGAGAATTTCCACAATCTTACACTTATAATCATGAATCATTGAAGTATCGCACTTCCTCCTGGAAACATTCCAGTATCAGTATGAGAAACGATTAAAGCAATCATTTTCTCGAGTAATTTAATATCAATTATCCGCAGTATCGCATGCTGATGTCTAAGACATTCTGATACGATTGATAGTCTGATGCAATTCCTCTTTTATTCTCCATGTTTGTTGAATACACAATGATATGGTGTCAATGCGCCGATTCCTATCGCTGAACAAATACAAATCACGCAGATAACGGGATACGAATGCAAGTAATTGGAGTGATCGTTTTTTTTTTTTTGGATAAAACCTGCAGTACATTGTAGGTACTTTCCCATTGTTGGTTGCAGTGTCCTTCAGCCTTTGATCGAACTGATAGACCTGTAATGTTTGATCTATCCATTTTATCCGTGTATCCCGGAGGAAATTATTCAAGAATATTTCTAGCGAAATTGCGGTAAATATTCCCCTGCGGTTTAATATCGAAAAGTTCGGGTGCTGCAACGAAAAGTACTCCACTAACTCCTAGCATCAGGATAAAAAGTTCGTTGATGTTCCAGAAGAAGTTTCAACTCGAAAAAAATGGATTCAAAAAATCAGGGCCTCAGTTTTTGAAGATATTTCATTCAGAAACTTTTTATATGATTTACTCGAGCAAAAATAAGAAATTTGAGGCATACAGTTGGGAGCAGGATAAATAATTATATCGATGCATGTGCAAAATAATTCAATATAATTTATAACAATATATTTCACCAGTCATTTTCATTCTATATAATGAAGCTGCACACCTAATGCACTGAGTTCAATGAATAAAATTTAATTTTCATTAAATTTCAAAAAATTTAATAGGATTTTTAAAAAATATATACATAATACTGTTTTTCTGGATATTTTCAAAAGAAAAAAGGAAAGAAGTCTTTTTCAATTTTGTCAATTAAATAAAAAAGCGTAATGCAGAGATTTTCCGATTGCACCGAACCCAAGATTCATATCACCATAAGATTCATAATTTATTCTTCACTCTTGAGCGTGAAATTACCATATTAATTCCGGATAATTGGAATTAGATAAGCAATAGCTGAGTCCGACATAAATCTCTTGATTATTGTATTTACAATTCAATTATTTTTTATTGACTTTCAGGATTTATATCCAACGGTGAGCGACAGAAATACGGAAACGGGTGTGGTTGTTGTACATTTGCCTATTTTTACGCTGGCATTTATTTTTCTTTAATTATTCTCCTTCAATATCCCGATGGAGATAGGAGTGATAACACACCCACATCCAATCTTTCAGTACACCTGTCGTTCAAGGATCCCGACGTGCCTTCGTCCTCATTATGACGTAGTGACCTTGTAAATTATTGTCAAGTTATTGTTGCAGGTGGTAATGGTCTATTTTGTGCATAAGGAGGTCAATGGATGTTCTGTTCTGATAATTATCCTTCAGGATTACTGAATACTTCATTTTTCCTTCCGTTCAAATAATTTATTAAATGATTTATTCAACTATTAGAATTTCAAGCAAATGGATCAGGATATCCTCTGTTTTGATTACACTCAATCGATTGCGAAATAGACCTTGAAATCTATCGAATTACGGGGCAGAAACTAGTGCATGAAAATTTAATAATTACCAACCCGCCAAAGTGGTGAACTGGACCAATTAATTCCCGAAAATAATTAATGAAGGACTTCGCCTGCAGAGAGGATACATTTTACTTGACCTATTTCCTGGTGCACGTACGATCCTTGGAAATGATACAGGACTGAATGAACCGATCATATCCCTAAATGACTGGCTCAAATTGTTGGTAAAAATTAAACGCGATTTTTCTGTAGATGGCTAGAACAATTAAGTTTCTAATTTAAATGACAACATAATTCATAAACTTCCTTGTAATTTTTATCTGGAAGAATAATTTCTTGGCTACAAATTTTGGAAAGGGTTGAGGGATTCTTGAGGAAGAAGGGAAGTGAAGATTGAAAATTCCGGGGAGAGATTTTGTGAGAGCAGAAATAAAGAAAAACGCTAGGAAGTTTGAAATTAGATTGAAAATTCTATGGAACATGAGTGTCCAAGCTCATATCGAATTTTGAATTAATTTTAATATTTAAAAAATTGTAATTATTTATAAATCCAAGCCCGCATTCACCTGAATTTTCATTTCAATTTTATGCAATTAGTGAAATGAAAACCTATATCTTCTTGCAGTTGAAATGAAATTTCAAAAATTTTTAGTGTAACTGTAGCATGAAAAAATTTACAAAGAATTCTACAGAAAAGTCCTCCAACTTTCCCCCAGCAATTCAAGTGACAAATTCGATGACTGAGAATGCGAGAATCCCTCAAAAGGTATTTACGTATTCTGGAACCGTTTTCCTGACATGCCATTAAATCCAAGGGAATTCACACGCAATTATCAAATTAAAAGCCGATAACCAAGTGAAATTATCCATAAATTTCTAAATCATCAATATCAAGCATCAATATCAAAATAAAAATATCTGAAAGAACAATCGGTGGCAATCTCGTTGGACAAAGCAATAAACCCATGGAGATCCATTGATAAGAAGTGACCCTGGAGGGGAAAAAAAAGTGATCTGGAACTCCTCCCCTGGATGGCGACCTAGGGCCCTGAGCGACCCGGCCTCTCCATCGATCCCCCAATCCTGGGCTACGGTTTTTGACATTGAACTTTGGAAAGCCCATGGCTCTCACCCAAAACTTCACCTTGAAAGTCAGTTTTATCCCAACAGAGAGACTCTGAAAAATGAAGGAATGCAATATAAGACAATAACTTGCTAAATTCCCACCACTCTTTCAAGAGACTATAATAATCTCCATCCCACAAACTTTTCGTGAAATTGACACCATCGGAGAGTATCATCCCTGGGGGATTGCCTCGAAGCCTCACCAGGTAGAACTCGGTGTTTCCGAGGGATTGTAGGTGTGAGGGATCGACCCACTTTGCCAAAACTCCTCAAAGACATCCGAAACTTTTGTCAGTCCTATCCATTTTTCTTTGAAATAAAATCCTACGGGTTGTATTCGATCAATGGCACCAGCTCATTCGATATTTGTTTGGATAATGTGGTACTTTGGGGAATTGATCTGGAAAGGACGAGGGGAGGGTTCCTGGTGCAGTCATGGGGATGCTCTGATTTCAATTTGGTGAACCACAACCTACATGTGACCCACACTTCAACCCTCACGGACTCATTGCAGTTCGGCAGCCGTTTTAGTCAACTTAATCTCCGCAAAACCCCTTCCGGCCCAGTGCATTCTCCGAGGAACATGCATCTGGAACGTGTTAAGGCGATATCCTGACTTCTCTCGAGGATGATGGATAAATTGGAGGTGGTTTGGCCTCCTTTTAGACAAAATTAACGGTTCGTGGAATTTTATGATGAATATTTTATCGGATTCACACGAAAAATATACCGTTTTTGCAGTTTGTAATTATTTCATGACTCTCAAAATTTCGTGATGATGCCATAATTTTCCAGTGTTTTTTTAAAAGTTTATAATTTTTTTAAAAGTTTAGAGGAAAGCAGAAAAATTATTATTTTATCATTTTTCTGAGTTTTTTCGCAAGTATGTGAATTTTTGAACAGCTTGGAAAAGTTCGCGGAAATAATTGCACATCTCGATGTTTTGACGGTCATTTCGATATTCGATAATAATTCTGACATTCGACGACAGTTTGTCAGAATAATAAAAATAATTAAAAAATTATTTACCATTAGTCACTGCTCCTAAATTATATGTGAAATCGTCGTATGACATTTGTGTAGAATTCTTCATTGATGAATCTGTTAATGAAACTCACGGGATTTTCCCTGCGAATCGGAAGTGCTTTCGGCGGAATCTTTTCAAATGTTCATTAGTGGAATGAGCAATTAAATGTAATGGTACACACCAAGAGAGAGAATTCAAGGTAAATTCATGTTTCTCTGAAGAAAATTACACTTGAAATTTTAAACAAAGATAACGAGCCGTCGCATTCCAGAATCATGCTTTCACGCTTCAATGAATTTCCTAAATATTCAGTTAATTCTCTATTTGCTTCAGGAATTATTTTTAATATATAAAAATGATATGGGAAAATTTTTCGCAAATTTCTTGAGCAGATTAATGCAGCAAAAAAAATCAACAAATTTGAAAATAAAATAGAAATGTTCTCCGATTTTTTGAATTCCTCGCAGAACAGACGCAGGTATGCATTTGAAGTGTTTTCAAATGGAGAATGAACAGTAATTTTCCAACAATGGATATTATTACGGAGAAGAATGGACGTCTGACTGAATGTTCCCTCTGACTACTTACGACTAGTTTTGACTCATTAATGTACTTCCGCCGTTATTTATCCTCGCCAAAAATTTAACAATATATTAGAACCCCCAAATGTGGACTATCTGTTGCCATATGCATTCCGAAATTATTCCCAAAATTTCGTGAAATTTTCCACAGCCAAGTAATTCCCGAATTTCCTTAAAATTTCTTTTTATAAATGGGAAGACTGAATGCAAGTGCAACGGTGTAGCACCAAGTATTTCTGGTTTCTCGGTAATTTTTCCCAGGGTGACATTCGGCCCCGGATTACAACGTGAATTTTTTCATCAGCGGGGGGTAAAAAAATCCTAGCGCAATCCTCGAGTCTACAGGTGCAAGGAGTCCCTCGGTGGAAAAAGCGAAAAAATATGGGGTGAAAGGAGGAAAATACTCGTATGAGGTGTACATCCCTTTAGGAAGCCTCTCGAGCCTTGTAGCGTGGTCCAGACCGCGGGAGGCTGCGCGGAAAAATCGATAGGCGAAAACCGGCGAGACTCGACGGTGTAACCGTACCGCGCAGTCAACCTCCAACCGCCGGCACCAACCGTTCGTTTTCCACCGCTGCTGCTTAAAAATAAACAATCAAGTAAAAAATTCTATAACTAAATACACCCTGCGCCCATCACCCCCCATCACCCATATACCCCGAAAAACCATCAATTAATAACCGATCACAATTAACCGATTACTCATCACTCATCAATTAATAATCGATTAATAACCGATTGATAACCGATTAATTACCAGTTTACGTACTGAGAAAGATTAATAAATTCGCTAATTTGAAGTAATACGATTTTTCATAGAAATTCAATAAAAATATCACTGCGTCGTCATCTGCACTGGACTCATTGAATTGGTGGTACCGTACATTCGGCAGACACCGATCGTGAGCAGAATTAATTATTCATCATAATTGGATAATTATATAATTGTATCGGGTTAATGCCCCGGGTAACGATTAATTGTTACACTATCCGAAAGATTGGATTTCAATAGACCAATAGATTCGACGAAATTACCCAATCATTTGGCACAGCCACACCATTTCCCGGGTTGTTGTCATTCGCGTTATCATAAATACAGTGCATTAACTAGAGGAATGTCTGAAATGTCTGAAATGTCCGAAATATCCGAGATTTCTGGTAATGTCAATTTTCTTGTGCCTGAATTGGTGAAAAATATTGTTATCACGGGATTTGGCTCGGAGTTTGTGATAAAAGGAGGGGAATCTCCGAGGGGTTGGTTGCTTCGGTGAAATTCCGGTGGCATGAGGAAATCATGTCGTTTATTATTTTAGGTTGTGATATGGAATTGTGACAGGCTTCCTTCGTTCCTGCCGACGTACGGGTCATTGACCTCTCGCGGTGTTGCTCCCGGGGTCACGTTGTCGCGTTTTGCTAACCCCTTCTGTCTTTTTCTCATCTTTCTGGGTAGATTTTATTTTTCACACCGTTGTGCCCTCAATATCGCCATCTTATCACGTTTCTTAGTGACACAGAAAGAAATTTTTAATGAAAATTACGCAACTCGCGTGGCGCTCGTACTGAGAAAAAATTTACTTCTAATAAATGAGTTTATGTCCGTCAAAAAAATTTATTTGGCATGAGTACATGTGGCAATTACTGAACATCTCGATTTTTTGGTGTTAGGGAATTTATTTCGGAAGTAATTTGTTTCGTACGCCAATTGCGATTTGGAAAATTCAACTGGCGGTAATTTATCATGGGAATTCTAACCAGATTTGAGAATATTCATATTTTAATTTGGAATTTTTGGAAGTCATCCGTTTTTATTGAATTTTCACTGCGTGCGGTGTAGGAAAATAATTGAGGAATGACTGACGCATTTTTGGTGTAGGGCGAACTCAAAGAAATGTGAATTCTATTTTTTATGAAATTTCTCGTATGCTATCAGAATTTTTTGTGAAATTTGACGAAAAGATGAGAATTCCCCTCCCATGGATTTTCACATTTTCCCTGAATTTTTCCAATTGAAAAAAATATTTCCAAAACTTCGCTATTTATTCCCCGAATAAATGGAATAAAAAACCCAACTCTAAATTGTTTTTTATTGATTCAACCCGAAAACCAGTGGATTATTGAATTTTTGAATTGCATAGTTCCCTGGAATTTCATGAAAGTTGAACACCACAAAAATTTGTAGAATTCCGAGGCTAAACTGAGGGAAAAAAACGTTAACAGTGTATTTATGTCTCCCCAGAAAGTTTTGTATCACTGCAGTGAAATCAATGTTTGTGGAACCTTTAGGATAAAATTCCAATTAACCTAGATCACGTGGGGAGTTGATTGAACATGCAGTGTGTAATGGAAACAGCCATTTACATTTGCTACATACAAATTGATGGAAATGAAGGACGGAAACGACTGGGGATAAACAATTTAGAGTATTGAAGGGAAGGGAATGAACCTTGTGGGAAGTAAGACCGTTCTTAGATGTCATCACTCAGAATTTAGCGAAAATGGGGAAACGCGGAAGTGACCACTGATCGATCGGGTAAACTCAGCGGTTTTATCTCTATAAAGGCTGATCGTTAACTTGGAGATATTGGTGGATTTTGAGTGATGTGAGATATCGAGGGGTTGGAAGTGTACGAGAACATGATGGTGGATGTCTCGGGCAGTCTGTGAATCCTTGGGGCTATGAACCAGCCCAGAAGACCACTCAATGGGGTGTGGGAGGAACACTCATTTATTGAGGTGAGCAATTATCTATTATTGATAATCATCAAGACTTTGTGCACAAAATTTTGAGGAATTTTTCAAAACAGGGATATGGAATTTGTCTGCTGAGAAAAAAAGTGAGAGAATTGAAAAACAATTGCTTTCAAACTCGTGAATGAATTAATTGATAGAATTTAATGAAGTTATTGAAGACGATTAATTGAAGTTTAGGAGTTTTATTGCCATTTTATTTGTTTGCAAGAATTGAAGATATCACTGAAGATATTGCTGGAAAATTTGACATAATTTTTTTGAAGCGACAAAAAATATCTGTATTATATTTCAGATTGATTCACAATACCGCTTTGTTGTTATTAATTATTAAAGTGTTAAATTTCTGTAAATTACAAAGGAAAAGGAAAAAAACTTGAATTTTAGCAGAAAGGACATACTTAAAATGCACTGGGGATTGTTTAGCACCTCGAGAAGATGAACCAATAATTCCTTCATTTTCACGTACATACTAGATGCAGTATCCGTTTAGAATGCAGGAGTAGTTGAAGTTTTGCAATTGGAGTGCGCTTACTTGTGATACAGTTCAAGCAAGTTGGTCTTTCTGGTACTTGATTAAGGTGGTACAGTCGTCGGTTTGAAGAGGCGAAAATTAGATGTGTTTTGAATTAAACTTCTCCATGGTACAATCCGATTGGCCATTTAATCAACTCGATTGACAATAACAAACAATTCGTGCAATTGCATAACCATACGTAACAAATAATAAACGATGGGTATAATTGCTGCAATTGCATTTTATCAGGGTAAGAATTTAAAAAAAAACTCCATCGGAGTCAACAGACTGGGAGATTTATAAACGGGAGAGTACATTTTTCGCAAAATTTTTTGTTGTCTTTGTTTTTTGTAAAGCGGATGTTGCTTCATTATCAAAAAAATGCAATTCTCTGGAGATAATTCTGCACGGGAGATTTTTCCGCATTGTCCTATCACCGTAAACGTCTCTACAATACCTGAGAGCGGAAAAATCGTCGAATCGACGTTACATCACGTGCCGTACTGACGGCGAGGACGACCGGAAGTTGAAAATAGCATGAAGCTTTCGCCTGTATTTCCCTTCCTGCTCAAGCCTCTATACAATCAGCTATCTCTCCCTGCAGAATCACCTTTTTTTCATTTATCCATTTTTACGCTTTTCACTGAAAATTTTCAATATTGACTTGAAAATAAATTTCCACTATGCATTCAGGAGAATAAAGTTTTAATAGATTTGTGTCAATAACATTCTGTTCAGGACGTTAGCCTCGCTGAGTTGAATGAGCACGACTTGGAATGAATCGTCGTGATCAGGATCCGCTGCTGAGGCAGCACTGCAGTCGTCTTCTCCAACTTGCTGAAACCACTAACATTAAACCTGGTCGAGGTAGTGGCAAGAGACGCACTCAGAAAGGCCATGGATTCTCCAGGTAAAGTTTACTTGGAAAATTATACTTTAAATGTTATAATCAAGAAACTTGGAATTTTTAATATACTTTAATATACTACTAGAATTATTTAATAAATAATTCGTCAATTACTACCGCATTTGATTTCTTAAATGTTCTAATAATTCTCAATTCTCAAATCGATATGCCACCGGAGAAATGTGAAAATCATGAATATTCCAGTAATTATTTCTCTGAATTTTCGATTAATTGAAATTAATTAATTGCAAATTCAATTATCATTTAATTTGAAAAAAGAATTTATAGGAGAAACCTAATTACCCTTTTTGATTGAAATTAAATTGAATTTCACAAAAATTATAATAAAATCATAAATAATTTTTACAAATTTCAGTCATAATACGATTGGAATTTTTTATTAAATCGAAATTATGTAATTAAAAGGGAATATTCGTCGTTTGCAACATAGTTTTTCTTACCTTACGTAAAAAAGATAAATATCAGTATTGCGCCTGTCAGTTACACATGGCATTACGTAATTTTTTCCAACTTTTTTTCTCAGATTTACGATTGACTGCGTTAGAATTTTTTTGAATTGGAAGTTGCATCAACGATCCGAACAATGTAATTTTTTATCTAGAATGCAAATACAATTCCAGGAAATTTTTCTGGTGAATTCAATTAAAAATTTCAAATCGGAATGGAGATTGTAAAAATACAATACAGACCTAGTCTCTACTATATGATCTACCACAATAAAATGAAAAAGTGTTCCTAGTCAATTGAAGTAATTACAAAACTCGATAATACTGATGGAATTGAATATAACGGAATACTGTAAATTATTTGAGTGCAAGAGTGCGAGAAATTCACACCTCATTAAATTATACCACTCTATTCGTGTACTATCGTAAATATTTGCCGGTGTGAGAGTACAATCTCCAATATTATTACAAAATCATCTCCATCAAGAAGCCCTTCATTGAGAGAATTGCGCCCTTGAATAAAAAATTGATTTTACTGCCTCCAAAGTGCTCTCATGAAGGATCACTGTCCAGCACTTGATAAATTCCCTGTGATACCCTCCAAAGAAAAACATTTCACAAGTTCAATAATTGAATTACCAATTTTTCCCATTAAAATTGAAAGGTTCACTAGATCGTGTGTTTTACCACACGTCAAGTCTAGAAAAAAAAAAATGGAAAGCTTCTACTTTTTTTAAATTCCCCCTATAATCACACTACAATTAAAATTACCAACCCCCAGGGTAAATATTTTGCAGCAAATTTACTCGGGTGTATTTCCATTGTATTGTAATACCGCAGCGGAAAAAATGGGGAAATATAAATGAATTTGAAAGAGTGGATTCTGACGTAACGTGTCCACCGAATGCATCCGATTGATCCAGGAGGAATAGTTCCAATATTTTTTCCACCCCAGCTCATCTGAAAAAAATATATATATTTCAGTTATTATGTCCATGCGGAGTGACCCACTTTGATGAATTATATTCACACAATTCGGCGACACGAATAGCTCTTATCATCCTACCGGAATTTCCATCCCCACGAGCAACCACATGCACTATAACTCGGCGCAATGCACTCTCTGTACAGCCCGTTTGCTCCAGGAAAATCGATTATCGAAGTTACGTAACCAGAGGATTGATTCAGATTGACTTTCAGGCCTATGCTATTTCCAGTGAGAAATTTCATAAATTTAGGGAGGTATTCACTGAAATTGAAAAATTCGAAATTTTTGAAAATGTATCAGGGGAACATGAAAATCGAGAAGGTATTCGCTGAAATTTGAAAATTCAAAATTTTTGAAAAAATATCTGGAGAGCATGAAAATCGAGGAGGTATTCACTGAAATTAAAAAATTCAAAATTTTTGAAAAAAAATCAGGAGACCATCAAAATCGAGGAGGTATTCACTGAAATTTGAAAATTCGAAATTTTTGAAAATGTATCAGGGAAATATGAAAATCGAGAAGATATTCACGGAAATGTGAAAATTCAAAATTTTCAAAAAATTATCAGGCATTTCCAATATTTTTTGAATTTTCGTTCACTGAAAAAAACTTGAAATCTATCCAATCCAATCCGCATGTAGTGTTATTTCTTCATTTCCATTTGACGGGGTATCACAAGCTGCCATTGCATCAATCGGACAATTACTTAGTCTGCAGCAAGACAACTCGAATCAACGAACTTAAGTAAAAAATTTAAATCCGAGACTTGATGATAGTGAAAATAGTAACAAGATGTAATTTTGAAAGTTAACGACGCAAAGGAGATTTCAATTTAATTCTTATGATTGCAGCAATGTCGGCACTGGTGCTCGGATTACACTCCAGGACATCGTGAGAAATGATCCTGGTTATACCCCTAATATTGAGCATCTCGTATTCCCGGAGCGCAAGGGAAGTAATCCGAATTTGTCTGGTAAGAGTAGCAATTCATCTGCTAAGATCAAGACCACCAATGCCACCGCATCGACTGCCAAATCTAGACTTGTGGAAGTGTTTGCACGTCCCTATATGCGAGGATCTTCCCTCCAGGACTCAGTTAATGCAAGGAATAATCATTTCAATGTGAGTATATTTTATTTTTCATGAAATTAGCTGACCACCGCACGTCCATGTACTTGGAAAACTTGGGGATCCCATTGAATTTTATTTGTAAATTCCATTACTTTTTTGCTACTCTTATTGGCGAACTCTCCAGACTTTCTTCCACACAGAATTTCGATTGAATCTGTTAGAGATTCCCCACAGAGTTTTATAAGTTATTTCGAGGTCATGTTTTAATTTGTTTTAATCAATCCTTTTTAGGATTTTTGTGGGATAATTTAATAGTTTTTAAGGGAAAGTTGGGATTTTGTTGGGACGCTGAGTGAAATGTATTATTTTTTAATGGTTCAAAGACGAAACATGCTTAAGTTATTTGAAATTCCAATGAAAATATCAATATTTAATAGCAGATTACCCCGAGTTTTCAATCAGTGGAAAACTCAATGACATATTTAACTGAATCCTCCGCATGTGTACCAATTGTCATGGAATTATGCATCGGAAATTTACATTTTCCATTGTCCTCCCTAGGATTGTGAATTCGCAATTGCGTAATCCCCCGAAATTTAGTGACACTATAACAAGAGAAAAACTTCAAAGAGGCGGAACTTTTGTAAAGAAATCTGAAAAAGTGAAGAAAATTCAATAGCATGTGCCAGTCCCACTCTTCGGTACACAAACTCAATAAACATTCATAGCTGTGCCAATACTCGAACCAGTTACCCCACTCTCTGTTCTTTAAAAAAAGTTTCTAATAATGTAGTAATCTCGAGAGACAGGTCTCTGTGGGAAAATACGTAGTCGCGTTCTTTTCCACCTCTCAATACAGATTCATCGCATTTCCATTCTAATTGAAAGATTTTAATCTGAATTTTTTATTACGGGAAACCGAGAAATTCGACATCTCACAAAAAATTATTTTCATTTCATTTAAATGAAAATTAAAATTGTGATTTTCACGTCAAATGCTCACCGATTTTTTAAGGAAAACCTGGAATTTTGGAAAGTCAAAAAATGTAATTTAATTTTTTCTATCAAATATCATTCAATTTCCAAAAAATGAAAAATTGAGAGAATTTATGAAAAAATATCGTCGCATTGTATATAAAATTGATATAAAATTCATATAAAATATTTATAAGTTTAGATTTATACAACATTTATATATATATATATTTTTTTTGACGGGGTTTTTCACAAACTCAGCGTATGAAATTGAAATTTGATCCCAGAGTACTTCACTGGACAGTGGGAGTGGTGCTGTAACGGCAGGTCATCAGCCAGGCTCAGGATCATCAAGGTTATCGAGTCAACGTCGGTGGTTGTCTCAGACATCTCAACAATCGTCACGGCAGCATTCAAATGAGGATGGGGGAAGCCACGTGGGCGTCAGCACTGGGACTACGACCTCATCATCAGTACAGCAACCTCGAAGAGTCAGTCCCGCGTCGGATTCTACTGAGATCGCGGACTCGACATCCAATTCGGTCCTCAGAATCGATCGCGAAAGATCCGATAGGTAATCGGGCCCTTCTGCAATAGTCCACCAAAACTTTTGCGCTGATAAAAATCATGACTTCTGTCAATTAAATTGTCTAATTACCAAAAATCACACATTTCAAATATAATTGCTAAATTGCGTGTAAATTCAGTAAATTCATTTGGTATGAGTAATTTTTTTTTCTCGCCATATGAAAAGTCTAGTGGATTCGCTTGACAATTCTTATCGATTTGAAAATATAATTGCAAAATGAATCTATAAAATAATTTGTATAGAAAAATGGGATTCCATTCTTTTTGATGGGATATTTTATTCTGAACTGAATCTCAATAGAATCGCCCAAAAAATAGAAGAATATTCTAGAAAATTGACGCGTGACAGAGTGACAATTTTATTTGTGCTGAGTGAACTACCCTGAGGGAAGATGTCAGAGAAAAGGTGAATTCTGCACTTCATTCTGCCAAAATCTTATCAGAAGATAAGCCGTTATAAACCCAGAACATGCATGAAGCAAACTTTCCATATTTATACCACCTAGAATATATCCATATTTCACAAAGGCTACAATTTGCATACATTGTACAATTGGATTGATGGAGCCTGAGAAAAAAATATATTTTACATTACGAATTGGTCTCGCCGTGCAAGATATTTGAAAATACATTATTTAAAAAAAAAATCTTTTTTTTCCCTGATGTGTGCAGGAGTAACATTTCAATTCTTCACCTGCGAGGTGCATCCTCAACAGACAGTTGGGAGGCGTCAAAAGCCTGTCGCGCTAGACCGACAGCCTACAATCGTACGAGTTCAATTCCCAACGCAAAACGTCACGAGCCATCCCCAAAAGGCAGTGTAACAAGCATCGTCAATATCTCATCACCAGCAGCCCCTCGAAATCACCACTGCCGCGAGGGAAATCATCGCCGTCGTGACGCCTCAAATTCATTCTTCACCGGTAGCAGCGGTACATCCGGTGAATTGTTCATCAGTGGTGAATGCAGCCGTGAATTGTCTCCAGTGCGCTGGTGTGATCGCGAAGTTGACGGTGTTTACCTGGGTAGATCGGGATGGGTGCAGGTACAGCAGAGATCACTCGATGAAAATCGTAAAAGCAATTACGAGGCCAAACATCAAAATCAAATAACCAACACTAGTACAAGTGGAACAATTCCACTGTCCCGACGTGCTGTCAAACTATCCGACTACCACTGCACCAACAGCGAGCCAGGAAAATGTCCAGACTACACCAGAAGCTTAACCCTGGACTCGACACCACGTCCCGACTTTTTGAAGCTACAGAGCGCTGATTACGAACCACCGAGTGGTGGTACCTCACCCCACAGTATCGAGTCATTCTCTCCACCCTCAGTCACCCCTATCATCTCTCCCCCACCGGCCTTCCAGGATGTGGCCAAAAAAACTCGTTCACGTAACACCGGTTACCCAAAAGCTCCATTCCTCCCTCGATCAAATGCCATTATCGACAGCGATGTTATCAGTCCACCTGCCTCACCGCCCCCAAAAAATTGGGGATCGCAAACGAGAAAAGTTAGTGGAACACCAATTAAACCGAGACCGAGGCGTCAATCACAAATGGCTAGTGGCAATCATCAGAAATCATTGGGACAGGACAAGTATCGTTTGCTCTCGGCAAAATCCCTTGAGGATCAATCCACCACCAGGAGAATACAATTTGCCCAGAGATATCGGGAGTCTTCCTCGTCTTCGTCCTCGTCCATGGGTTTCAGGAGTCTCGATAGCTTTGTCAGTCGCAGCACGATGCCAAGACTTGCTGAGAACACTGACTCGTCGGTGGAGGGATACGAGGATGGGGATGAGGATGACAATCCGGACTCATCCTTGAATCTTGGAGTGAAGTCTCCGAGCCCCCTCGATTCATCCCCAGACGGGAAGACTATCAGTCAGGAGAGGCTGGGAAGGAAGCCCTTGAGGAAGTCCCCCGGGTCATCCGATGCAGGAAAATTGTCCTTCGACTCGACCTCTTCGTCGTCGTCACCGTCTTCCTCATCGACCAGTGGCACTGGCAGATCACCCAACAGTTTCAAACGATCAGGTCAGAATCGGGGACATCAGGGCTTCAGGAATACACTGGGATCACCAGATTCTCTGCAGACCTCCAGAGTCAGGCGGTCCAAGAGCCTCCAACTGCCTGAAAAACGCTCGCCTGGATCTCATCAGGCCAGGGAACATTTCAATGAAGCTAATAGAGTCGTTGTCAAAATCACTGATAAACCCGCGACAACTGAGAGGACTAGGAGATATCCCCTCACTGCTCGTAAATATTCTTTTACTTATCTCTATATTTTTCGTATTAAGATTTTACTCATTTTAATTTGACGTGGAAAATTCTTATGACAATTTTCGACGAACAATCAAATATATGCGGACATTTTGAAGATTCAAGCAGCTGAAGGCAAATTCTCATCTCATTAGGTTGTCAACATTAACAATCCAGGTGTCTCGGATTTTCAAGCGATATGCAGGATTTATTGAATAATTAGATCTCGAACTCGATTTCAATTTGGAATATTAAAAATCCAGAAAATTGAGGTCACAGAAATTTCAGTGCTCACTGCAGTGTGAATTGTTAATAATTTTCTCCATCAGATATTTCTTTTACAATTTATTCTCAGTTATTGCACACTCATCTCTTGTGGGAATTTTTGCATGCCGCGATATGGAATGGCAGTTCCAAAAATTTCGAGCTCAAAAGATAAAGAAACAATAGAGCTAGCATCCGAGAGGCGGTACGACAAAGCCTTAATTTCAATCAATGATATTCGGATCGCTCCGTTGCACGGGAAAATTTTCCCACGAACGAACGTATTCAGCAGTAAACTACAGAAGTTCAATAATTCATGTAACAATTCAACAGACAAGTGGTAAACGGCCGAAAGGGTAGAACACGGTTTGTTTCGCTTTCATGTGTTGAATTTGGCCCGTGATGAATTCAGTAGCAAAGAGGTAAAGTGTAACAACTCGACTAGTCGAGTATTCGGGAAATATCTCTGAACCCGACAGAGATATCAGAATTTTTTCCAAGACCTCTGGGGGGTTGAACAAAGTCCGTGCTAATGATTCTTACCAAAATGTCGCTTTTTTAAACAAACATTTGATGAGCACTTATGCCCCTTCTCATTTTTTCCCGAAAACTGAGGTAAATCTTAATTTTTTTGCCTATAACTTGAGGCAATTAACTTTAATTGCGTCGGAACCTAATTGCATTGAATGAATTGATCCCTTCCAGACATTAAATCAGTATTTTTTTCTGTTTGATTGCCGTATTTTCCCCTCCCCTCCCCTGCACTTCTGAGAATATACGATTTAATAAATCCTATAAATTCGTATAATAAATGAATTCTCCCCAGGTAAGGCTCAGTCGACGGAGGAGGTGTTGAACATGGAGCTTCTTCGAGAGGCAGAGGTGGTAACGGAGTATCTGTACGGAACGAGAACTAGAGCACCTGCCAGGAGTCACGTACCGAGTCATTTTGATGACACGCAGGAGAGGCACGAGCCCCATGACATCTACTTCATATCGTCGAAACAACCCCGTCAGGACCGACGAGCCAAGAGTCTGCAACGTGGTGCTACCACCCCAAACACCACGACCCCAATCAACGACATCAGCAAAATGCGGTGCAACACGAGTACTTGCAACTACTGGCCGCACTGTTCGGAGACTCTTTACTCTCCGAATCAACCGCCCTTGATGAAACTCTCCCAGAGCTATCCGACGAATCGAAGGGTCTCGACGGACAGCATCATAAGTCAGTCGAAGGATCGAACGAGTGCTTCCTCATCACCGGCGTCACTGGACGTCGTCGATGATCGCGAGGGTCGCAACACAGTCACTCGCAAGGAGATGAAAATCCCTATGAAGCAATCGCCAAATTACGAGGGAACAACCCGGTGGGAGTACAGGAATGCTCGTGCATCACCGGAAGTACTTAAGAACCCTTCGGCGAATGGAACTTCATCCGTCACCACGTCCTCCTCGTCGAGCAGTGATGTATGGATAACAACGTCTGACAGAACGGTCACCAAGAGCCCGAAAAATCCCAAGAGCAGTGGAGGCTCAACACCCATGGAGGACACCATTGTAGAAAAATGTAGTGATGCTGTTGGAGATAAGGAGCACGCACGCCCCGGAAGTGCTCCCTCCAAACGGGAAATATCACCGGAAGCCCAGGGTACTCTCGAACCCCATCAGAGATCCTCTTCTCTTCCCAAGTCTTTTCTCACACTTGAGTCGGCAATCGAAGGGTGAGTTGTTTATGTTTTATTTTTGTCGGAATGGGACGAATGTTAATAGCAATATTTATAATATCATATATATATAATATGATATAATAATATTTATGAGTATTATTTTATGACATTTGCCGTTGCCAAGTTATTAGCAGGAATAACTATACTGCATGCAATGAATGGGCAATTTCCCGCTTATTTTATTTTGAATTTTTCGATTATATTTCCCTCCCGATGGGAAAGGTAAATTAATCCAATATTACGCAAAATATTTCCAATGACGGCGTTATAGTTGCAATCGTAATTGAGTTGCGTACCGACGTTAATTAGAAAACCGCCGATGGAAACAATTGTTTCATCGCACTTTGATCGATAACCCAGGACCACAGAAGCTGTTGCTCTGGTCATCCATGTGTAACACAAACGGTGCAGCATATATAACATTGAATTGTCGAGCTTACTAATGGCGCAATTACCGAAGTGTCACGTCCAGCGTGTACCTATAGCAGCAACCGAGGATAGGACAAATTTCTGGGGGGCTTTCTGGACACCTGTGCATGCATTAGTTGGCAAGTTCTAGTAAATCAATGGTTACTCTATCAACTCAGTGCAAACTCAATTACAAAATTAACATCAACTATTCCATGAGTTCACTGCTATCCTCAGAAGAATTATACAATTTATTTTTCCAATGATACGCATTGGTATAAATTTGTGAGATCATCTTTGTAATTATTTATTCAATCAAATATTCCTGGGGCTTAAAATTTCATTGAGCATTATCTCCTGATAATAATCGATTCTAAAAAATTTATTATTGATGCGGAGTTTATATTTTATGACAGAAGCACAAATGCTAGCGCTAATAAAATTTATCCAGACGTTTGAAAATCCTACGACGCACTGGCTTTAAAACATTTCATCCACTTCGATTGTAGTAAAAAGGACAATTTTCCATAAAAAGAAAGTAGAAAGATATTGTAATTTTTACTACAACGTCAAGGTACAACTTGAAATACACCGCACGTATTGGTCAGAGCCAATACACGATTACTGAATCTCGGAATAAATTTAGCCATAAATTTTTCTCGTGGCGTGTCAATACCATAAAAATTGACGTGTTACGAATAAAATTTTCATTGGTGAGTCTGGGGTGATTTTTCATAAATTTTTTCATACAAGAAGACTGATAGTGTCGAAGAGCGATAACAAGAGTTGTCTTGCACCTCAGGTCGTACATGAATGTGAACAATTGGCATTATAGAAGGGAACCACCAACCAACTCATGATTTCATGTTTACTGAATGCAATATGAAAACCACTATCTCTATAACATTTCCCTGGAACTTGGTACACCGGACGTGACCCGTTATGGGGAAAACCCATTGTCTGGTGTTGACAGAAAAGCTTTATACATTCACAGCCCCATTATTGTTTCATTTCCCTTTTTGGCATAAATCTGCCCTTCTTTCCCTCTCTGTCATCATCAAAAGCCGATTTTCTTCGCATTATGGATAATATAGTCTTCACAACCAAAACCCATCTCGTTACTGATGCATACGATGCTCCGTAACATTGTTCAAGAGTACTATAGCTACTCTCTGGGTAAAATATAAGCTGACTATCTATTCCAAGAGACGAGCCAAATTCACGTGGTATGCCTTCCAAATTCATGATACCACATTTACGTCGCATACGCGTATAGCAACATTGTCGTGCATATTATGTTATATAATCCGGTTTTGTTCCATCAGATTCATAACGACCTTCAGATAAACCAGAATGGTCCAGGGAAGAAAGTGTTTCAAGATCAAAATCACTATAAAGATGAGACAATTATTTCATTATTTCACGAAAAATGTGATATTACATATAAATAATTAGACTTAATTTCAAATCAAACGCGAATTTGGGGAGATTCCTACCTGAAGGTCAAGGATTAATAACAATTTTCAAGAAATCATTGCAAATTGCAAAATTTCTATTGAATTGTCAAAAAAAAGAGTGAATTTCAAATTTTGAAATCCAGTGAATTTTCATCTTCTTTTAATTCAAGTGAAATTATGATGAATTATGAATTATGTTTTTGTTTTTAATTGTTAAAGTTCAAGGGAAATTCGAAATTTCACTAGTTTTTACCTGAAATCAATTAAAAAATGGTGCGACCAGAATAGGCGAAGGATATGCTCACGAAATCTCTCCGAATTCCCAGTTTGTACTAGTTAGCACCTTTAAAAGTGTTCATGTCCTTTACGATGGAGATGTCAGCCAAAGTTTGAGATCTGTGCTGAGTAAAAATGTCAACGAGACATTAAAAAGGGTAGAGAAATGCCGGGGCCGCGTATGCCACATAATGAAATGATGGTCGAACTTCTTTCAACCCGTATAAGGAGCTGTTCGTTGTACCAACAGTATTACATCCCACGCGCGCAATTTACCGCTTCAATATACATACTTTAATTTTAGCGAGTGGGCGCAATACAATTTCGGCATGAATGCCTGTAAATCCAGTGGTTCTTCGTGAAAAATCGCGCAATTGAGAATTGAGAAGAGAGAAAATCATGAATAAAACATTCTCACGATCCACTGGAATTTCAAATGACAAAATTTATTTCATATAAAAGTTCACGCTTCGAAATTCCTCGAAGACAATATCGATAAGAATTTTTACTCAAGTCCAACTGAGATCTTCAGGTTTTTACCTCGAATTGTGTACCATCAAAATTCATTTCGATAATTTCATACGATTCAAATTTTGATATTTATGATGACAACTCTATAATATACTCGATTCAATATCAGCAAATGAGAACATTCGAGAAGATATTCGTTTTCCCAGAATTTTACAATTTCTAATAATTTCCATGGCTGTAAGAACCAGCCAATTAAATATTCCTTGAATATTTGAAGGATTGACTTTTCAATTGAGCTTTCTTGTCCTGAAATTAAGAAATCATTTTCCCTAATGTCTGGTAGTAAAAATGACGGTTTGTTCTTAGAACATGTAATTTTTTTCGCTTAATGTCTGTTATGTAATTTTTACTTCAAAACCGATGAAAAAACATCAGAGTAAATTTCTTTAAATATTTGCATGGTGCATAATTTTTATAGAATAAACCTTTGCTTTTCACAAATTTTAGTAGAGGTGGGGTTTCTCTTTTCTCTTCATCGACGAGTCCATCCTCTTCGATAGAACCATCCCTTGGGAATTGTTTGGCGCTTGCGTGTATCGTTCAACCCCTAGAATCGAATTAGCCCGTTCTAACGAACACGTCGGATGCGGTTGTGTTCTACATGGAATTATTAGCATCGATTGGCAGCTTCTCCTCGACAAATTCATTGTGCAACAATCTATGGTCAAGGATAGGGTGGGCACAGCAGATTATCCGAGTCGTTAGTCGCGGAACAACCGCTTCAAGGTCTTGGCACCTTAGAAATCTTATTGCATCATCGCCATCACACTTTCACGGCAAGTCTCCACGACCTTGGGACCATTTGTGCCTCCACTGGACCAACAGCTTTGGGACCAGTGGCAAGGTGAACATTTTTACCTGATAAACTATTCCCTACTGTTCCAGGAATTGCTGATAGATGGCCTTAGGATTCACTCCCATCCTCAATTGACTTTTTCCCTCAAATTATATTGCTAATCTAATCAAGGCAAGGATCTATAGACTTCTGAATTATTGCAACCATATCCGTTCCAAAGAAAAAATTCGCAGTTGAATGTTAAGCAGAAAAAAAAGGTCCGTTCGACTATTGCCCAGTTTTTCAACAAAATCTCGGAATGAGGGAGATAATTGAATTTTTAATATGACCTTTTTTGAAAAGGTAATTCAATGTTGCAAAAATGGTAATTCCGAAAATTACGCTATCTCTTTTTGTTTCGGAGATATCCCTGATTAATTCCTGCGTGTGTCGAATAATTTTGATTCAAATTAGAGCTCACCGAAAAATTCTATTTATTAATGATTTAGATGATTTTTAATTAAACAAAATCCCATAAAACCGGTTCTTCTCGGTTCGTTAATATAGTGCATTAATCAGGAAAAATAAAATATCCATTCTACGAAATTTCAGATGTTATCGCAATTTGTGGGGCACATTTCATAATTTCTCCCGGACTTCTCATTACAACCCATGTTATTTTTATCTAATTTCCTCATGAAGTCAGGGACTTATAATTAATTCTAATTTCCCAACAATATGACGAATCTTCCTGAAAATGAGGACTTTCTACTATTTCCGTGGGTTTCTCCGGTTGAAAAAGTGGAATTAAATTAACAACCCTTAGATTACCAGTAAACATTCATTTAATACCAATAATAATAATAATAAATATTATTATAAAAATATGTATATTTCTTGAATGCCAAAAAATCAATAAAAAATTTAATACATCTGGATTTAAGGGTAATCACACCCACACACAGTCAGAATTGCCGTTAAATTTTTTTTTTGGCAACTTGTCGCTGGAATTGCCATAAAAAAATATTTTTGAATTTCTCATTTTTTAATGACTCACGAACTTTCGAGGTGGTGCGAACATTTTAATTCTCTCCAATCTTTTAGAATGAAATACACAGCGTTATATTTTTTTGGGTCAATTCCATTGATAATTTGGCAAAAAAAAAAGAAAAAAAATTGTAGAAACGTGAATTTTGGTTGTACAGGTTGTGGAAGATTAAAAAAAAAGTAGTGTCATGGTGTTCGGTGGGTTTTGGATAGTTTGGGTGTGTAGTTGGAATGCATCTACCTGCGATGAGCAGCAAAAGCCGGCGGCGCTGTGTGGCGCTGCAAGCAGAAGACAGAGTGCAGTCAGTTGGTTGCCACCGGTGGAACGGTATACATATACACCACAATCGCCACCGTTGATATAATCAAATAACCCCGAACGAAATAAAAATAATACGATTAGCGCCAATTGGCGCCCATTATTTCACCTGAGATTGTCCCGATAACGAGACTCGCGTGATATATTCCGAGGGTATTTGCTGCGTCGTTTCCGGTTCATC